GCTGCTCTCCTCATCAGCATGCACACTCATGCTGTTCCTTTATCCTTCTGCATTTCTACCTCTGCCCTCTCTGTCTTTACTGCTTCGACTCAAACTCCTTTTCTCCCCAGAGAACGGCAACAACCGGTTACAAACGTGTTGACGTGTCGTGTGGCTCAGGTTTCCTGCTCTGTGTCTCTCGCGTTGACCTGTGCACGTGGTCAAACGTCTAGTGCTTCTGGCATTTGAACGTCAAGCCCAAGAAAGCCTTCTCCCAACCTCAAACACTCCTGACGATGACATCACCCCCTGTGGCCGAATGGGAGGGGAGTCATTTCCTGGTGTTATTGGGACCTCAGTGACATCAGCGAGATCAGACCCGTTTCCTGGGCCATGTGCAGCCACTGCAGCTGAAGTAGAACCGTTTACAGACTTCAACCGGTCTTTTCACAGGAACAGAAACTTTTCATCCCAAACTGGAACCACCAAATAAACCAAAGTCATGAGGACCATCAAAGTCGCCCCATGTGCCTCCCCCTCCAGGCACTGTCTGTCCTACAACACGCCTGAGCCACAACCACTGACAGACAATCCAACAGCAGAATAAATAGAAAGTAGAAAAGGATCATATTGATCTGAGGCTGATGTAGTAACTGCTGCTGGAGCAGCTAGAGCTACGACTCCAGAGGAATACGAGCGTCCTCTCTTGATGAAGAAGAAACAACTGGGTCACATTCAGTGGCACAGTTGAAATGGTTCACTTCCTTTGGACTTCTGTAGGTGCACTTCCTAAATACATTTTAAATTATTTTAATTAGGCAACATTTAAATACATTTTAAATTATTTTAATTAGACGCCATATTTGACTCCAATATAGGTTTTGTTTTTATATCAGTTTGCATATATACACATGGCTCTGTATCACAGTCTTTAGTGGTTTTTATACCATTGTTAGTCAGTGTATTTGTCAGTGAACTTCTACTAAAAGTAGCCCTGTGTTTGTAGTATATGGTCTGTCTCTACTATTTATCCAAGTTCACTGAATATGAAGTGAGGATTTTTTTACTGTAAGAAATTCCCTTTTTAATATTTTTTTATCATCATCTCATTGATTTCTGTCATGCCTTAAAAAATGCTACTTTAACAGGTAGATAGTGTAGCAGTACTTCAGCATCATCTACCCAGGTTATTGGCAAATCAAACAGCACCATCTAGTGGTGAGTTACTGAGTCGAAAGATTGAAAGATTTAGTCTAACAGTGTCAAGTTCTAACATTTAGAATCTCTCACACTTCCTGTCACTAACCACATCGTTGTGTTTCCTTTATGTCCCGTTTGATTCACAGTCCTGTCTTTGTTCCACCCAGTCTTTACTTTGTGCTACAACCTTGAGAGACTGATGACTAAGGTGTGATCACTATCAAGTTTTGTGAATGGTTGAAAAAAAAAGGGAAAAAGGAAAACAGATTTGCAACAACATCTCACACATAAAGATGTTCCTTGTTTTTAGGTTCCCTTCAGCAGAGCCTCTGTGCTGACGAGGCCTGTGAAATCACAGCCAGGTCCCACACACCACCAACTCACAGATAATCTCTAATGATGCAGAGCTGACGGGAAAATCTCCGCCCTCAGCTGGTTTGTAATGTTTAAAGTGACATTTGAGAGAAAGGCTGATTACGTCTGTCAAACCTAAATCATCTACGTTGGCGTCACATGTGCAGCACCTTGTATTCTGGTCTTAAATCACAAGAACAACCAGAGGATCTGCTTTTGCCAAATGTGAAGATGTAAAAATATACGAGGTTCCATCTGTTCTCCTCCTGTTCGTCTGTAACTGAGATCTGGGCAAAACCAAGCAAGAAGGTTCCTCTGGGTCCTCTAGAAATCAAATGTGTTCGTCTATAACTGAGATCTGGGCAAAACCAAGCGAGAAGGTTCCTCTGGGTCCTCTAGAAATGTTTCTTAAACGTTATACACGGCACAAATTGGACATTTTTTAAAAGGAAAAATGATTTTCCACCACTAATGTCCCCCAGTCTGGACATCCCTGATCTATGAAGTCTAATGAACGCTCAAAGACAAGAGCCTGACCTCTGCTGGTCCTCAGAGGGATCTCTGTGTCCTGTCGTTCACAGAGAATCTCATAGACTTTAACTTTTCGACCAACAATTCCTTTGTGCTGTTTTTCAAATTCCTAATGCGTCACAGCAGCTGCCACTCCAGTCACTATGAGGTTCATCATGTAATATTTTTGGACGTCAGATTCAATAACACGTCCCAAAGAGGTGTGAAATGTCGCGTGAATGGAGGTTCATTTTCTGAACTGCGGTTTCACCGTCTCAAAGCTTCTTCTGATGCTTCGTCCTGTACAATTTCTTTTCCCACTTTCCACTTCTGTGCACATCACCAAATGACTCTGGTGCTGAATACAGAAGAATTTAACAAAGCCGCCGGATTCATGGAGGAACGCAATCTGAAAATACCCCTCTAACCCCCCAAAAAGGCAATATTGAACTCCAGTAATTAGGTGGCCAGAGACACTGTTCCAAATAAATGCTGTTATACTGAAGTGCTGAGTCTGTGAATTCACACAGTAACTTTAGACGGTAATAATAAGGCAGTGTTGTGTTTACAGTCTGCTGTGGAAACAAATGGCGAGTTGACAGTGAAGGCACCACCGAGTCAGTCAGACGTGTGTTCACAATGACCTCCTTTAGATCGGATTGGTTGGTGTGAACAACCGGACGACTGTACACGAGGACATGTGATGTGAGTCCTTGTACAGACAGTCCATTAATGAGACATGCAGTGTTTATAACAACATGTATGTGATTTTATACAGATGCAGACGTGTGCACTCGTCCACTCAGACGTCCACCAAACAAACACAGACATGTGATGACTAACTCCACTTTCTTACCTGAGTCCTTCTCAAAGAAGAGACAGCAGTGAGTCTGTAGTAGCCATGGTAACACCTGTGACAGATGAAAAGATGGATGACAGATATAGTACAATAACGGCTGAGTCACTCCAGACTGTTACACACACACAAACACAAACACAGGCCGTGGGTTGTTGGACAACATGTAGGTATTTTTGACAAAGTGAGGAAACTTCAGTGGGTCGGTCACCTCCACGCCACATCTCACACACACACACACACACACACACTACCCTTTATTCATATTGATTGATCGCTGCAGGAACATCCAGGTAGAAACATTCAGTTAGTGAGTCATTCATGCAGAGCATAACTTCTTACATTTCAACCATTGTCTGTCCGTACAGGTCAGAGACATGGGATCTAACTAGGTCAACAACAACAACAACAACAACAAAACATCTTCTCCTTATTCTATATACAATGATCAATAACAACAAATGACAGGCGGCGGTGCAGGTGCACAGACACCGACACTCCCTCCCTCTCTTACCTTCTTCAGCGCTGACATCCTTCTCCTCACAGAAGGTCACTCCTCAGATTTGGGCGGGCAAGAAAGCAAAGTGGACGGCGGGCATGTCGCCTTGCCTCGCTGAAAATCGCCTCGTTCTGCCGCAGGAGCAGACGAGTCTTTCCATGATGAGGGAGACAGAGAAGACGAAGGAGGAGGAGGAGGAGGAGGCATGTGCGTGGTTTCTGGTCCGACGCGGGTGCTGATGCGGCGGCACACTTCATTCTTCGGAGAGGACTTGTGATGCGCGGTTGTTGTTGCTGTGGTCAGTGATGGAACAGCTGCGGTTGTGGAGGCAGCGAGTGTCAGGCGCCATTTTCACAGAATGTGCAGCCACAAGACAGGGGCAAAGGTGGAACAAGTGCAGGTTTTGCTCTTAAAGTGTCCCAAAACAAAAAATCTGGGTTTTTTCTCTTTAATTAATAAAAGTCTGACACACCAAAAGAAAATGTCCGTTAATTATGACTTTTGTGTTGTAGAAAAAAAACAACAGTTTTGTGATAGACTTCCAATGGACTTTATATATCCATTTAAGCAGTAAAAATATTTTTTACAGTAACATCTAACACTGTTTTTTTATTTTTTTCGATATACGGTCAAATCACAGAAACAATCCGATTAGGCTCAGATGAATACATAATTAATTACAGTTTGTTTAAATGTCCTGTGGAACAATAAATTAAAATTAAAATTCTCTATTCTAAACTTGTGGACAGTAAATTCACTGGTCAGTAAATCTCCATTTACTCGCTTAATCTTAACCTGCACCATCACCTGTTAATCTTTGCTTGCAGAGAACGAGCAACGTCAATTAAGGCACTCTTTAGTTCGGCCGTGAGGGGGCGCCACGTGTCTTGAAACTGTCTCTGTCCAGGAGCCGAGCTCTAATGGTTTCTAAGTGTCATTCTCGTTTCCAACATTGAGTGTACAGTACACAGTGTCGCTGTCCATGGTTCTGAAGAGTAAAAGCCAGGTATCTGACTCTGTCCGTGGTGCTGAAGAGTAAAAGTCAGGTGTCTGACTCTGTCCGTGGTTCTGAAAAGTAACAGCCAGGTGTCTGACTCTGTCCGTGGTTCTGAAAAGTAACAGCCAGGTGTCTGACTCTGTCCGTGGTGCTGAAGAGTAACAGCCAGGTATCTGACTCTGTCCGTGGTGCTGAAACAGTTAACTGTATCCACGTGAATCGCCTCTTTTTCTTTCTGTCATTTTGAGGTCAAGTTGACACAAACACAGTAAATGCAAGGTGGTGCTGTTGTATATATATATATATGTGTGTGTCTGTGTGTGTGATAAACTCACTGAAGAAACCTCACTGGTGTTATTCAAAAACATTGTTTTATGTTGTAATTCATATACATTATTACTCAGCCAAAGTGAAAATTCTTCTTTTTGTCTGTACGTGTTTGTTACCCTTATGTCATTTACTTATTACCTAAGGTTATACTTTTTATTTTATTTTCTATTACAGTCCCTGTAGCTGTTACCGGAAAAACACCATCGTACAGAGAGATGAGAGTACATCATGTATCTTAAACACTCGAATATAATTAACTGATGAAGTAGATTTCATTGATTTGTTGTGGTGTCTCTCCTTTAGTTTCCAATTGGGTTTTAGGTAAATCTTTAGGTGATTTTGTGCTACTTATATTTTTGACAGATGCTTTGTGACGTCACGCCAGCGTAACCCCGTGACCACGGAAGTTACCTGCGTGACCAGCGCACCTGCATCTAACCCAACTTAATTATTCCCCTCTACTGCTTTTTACTCCGCGTGCACGTCACCTCTAAATCAACATGCTACGCCACATGTGGTTCAGTGAAATGGTTACTGTGTAAGAAAATATTTTTAGATGTTGCTCTAAATTGTGCGTTTTCCAAGAAGCCGATGCAGCTGCTGCGCCACCAGACTGTTTCTGCCTCCGTCGTTTTCTGTCGCATTAGAGTTAAAGGCGAGAAGCAGTTGGATGTTTGGACTCAAATGAAAGACTAAATATGGTGGTTGTCCCTCCAGAGCCGCACGGTCAGTGTAGGATGTCGGAGTGAGGAGACTGTGAGCGACTTTAACCGTGCCCTCCTCTGAATCCAGCAGACGGGACGCAGAAAGGAGGTCGAGGGAAGCTGAGGAGAACCCTGCAGAGGGACCTGACTGAAGACACGGCTGAGGAGCACAGTGGCAGGAGAAGGTAGGATGGACCAGGGCGGAGGTGATCTGTGTGTGGGGACATGGAGTGCAACACATGTGACATGTCACATGTGTTTATATATTTGAGGGAAAAGAGAAAATAAAGTAGCGTTGACGTGGACTAACGCGTCGCAGCCAAACTTCATTCACCAAACCGCCAGTTTAACGTTACATGGCGTATTGGAAACAGAAATGTCCAGTGAATCACGTTTTATGAACGTTTCTGAGGTGAGTCAGAAGTCCTCTACAGTTCGGCATGTCTGTAGTTCTGTACTGATTTGCGCATTTCATGCTGTGGGTGTAAATGTCCCGTTTGACCAAGACTGGATTAGTCTGCAGTGGCTGTGAGTCGGATCTTTGTCTGTAGAGAAATAAAAGGTAAATATAATGATCATTACTCTTGTCCTTTTAAATATCGATCGAACGTTTATTGATTAAACACTGCAATTTCAATGTCCCGAGTAATAACTGTTATTATAAATTTTACTTTATAAACTTCGTGTTGATTTGGTTCACGTCACGGCTCTGTCGACAGATGGTGATTATGAATATTTACTTAAGAAGTAAATAAAAATTAACATCTTACTCGTTTTTTACACCATGCCTTTTTTAAACAGTTGCCTTCATGTAAATGAAGCACCTTTTTTGTCAACATATTTGGTTAGAAACACTGAGGTGAGTGGATGTACAGCTGGAGCACTGATAGATTTACTGTTGGATGTTGTCTATAGTTCTAGGCTGTATCATCAACAGTTTAGATGTTGTACAGCTGTGGCCTCCATGACGTCACTCTTATTTTAACTCTGTTCATCAGGTGTGCAGAGATTTTACTGTAAAAAAAGCCAAACATTTTGTCGGGTTTCTCTCGTTTTGTCTGTGAGAGATAACATTTTTTTTATTTATTTGTTCTCCTGGAAACAAGTTTAACTCCGAGTCAACTTCATACCCACCTCCCTCTGTCCAGACAGCATCAGTTCTCGTAGGACACCTAAAGGACACTGGGACTTCCTGTCCACCTACCTGTCTCTGCTGGACCATGGGTAACCACAGTGGAAAAGACAACCAGAGCCACGGCCTAACAGGTAAGAGTTAGTAAACACCAGCATTAAAAAAAACAAAAAAAAAACAGTTGAGTAAATAAGATTTTTTTAATGACATTTTTGTGTGTGAGGCTAATTTATATGAAACCATCTTCTGGATTAAAGATTTCAGGCACCATTAAATTGTGTCCAGTCACTTTCCAGTTTCTTCCTATTCAAATGTAACAGCTGTTTAAAATGCTGCTCCTGGCTTCCCTCTCTCAGACGTCACTGCGCAGGGAGCAGCCTCACGCTGTAGATGAGAATAGCTCCAGAGCTCCAGAGCTGTGGCTGAAGAGAATAGATTATTCCTCAGCTGGGAAGATCATGAGTCAGCAGAATCTGGCCGTGCAAGGGCGAGGAGGCGAAACGTTAGGAGACGTGATGTTTGTGGAATCAGGTGGAGGAGGTTCCTGCGGCCTGTTGACGTGGGCAGCAGTGGTCAGTGCTCGTTTTTATCAGTGCTGTAGAGAATATATCTGATCATCACAGCATCAGTGATGGATGAGATTTAAGATGATGGAATGTTGGCCTAGAAATCCTCACCTGTGGAAATACAGGAGCAGTGGAGTGAATGTAGCTGCAGGACAGTAGATCAGGGTGAGACTGCATCATCATCTTCCCCAGGATGTGTGTGTGTGTGTGTGTGTGTGTGTGCCATACAACTGGCAGCAGAGGCTTTTTGCTGCATCAGTCAGATCTGGACAGTAAATAAGGAAGCGGACACTGAGTGCTTAGATCTGCAGTCCAGTCCAGAGGAGAGGAGCTCTGCGTCTGCACCATTTCTTTTAGTTTTAATTCAAATATTCTGGGCTGCTTTGTTTTCCTTTTTTTTTTTTTTTTTACACCTCTGCCTTTGTTTTTGTATTTGTTCCTCCTCTGGTTGACAATTTAACCCCTCCCTTCCTCCCTTCTCTCTCCCTCCCTCCCTTCTCTCTATTTCTCTCTCTCTCTCTCTCTCTCTCAGGTTCTCCTCTAGATTTTTTCCAGACGCCTCCCACCACTCCCTCAGAGGCAGACCTGGCCAACATGGCCTTTAATAAAGCACAGACGCCATCACTGACCGGCGGCACCACCCCCTCCGCTGCTCCTCCAATCCCAGACTGCACACAGAAAGTGTCTGCTCCGACAGAATGGGCCCTGATCAGCGTAGAGAGCAATGTGAGCGACGCGGCGGAGGCGGCGGCGCACGAGACGGCAGCGGGCAGCACCGACAGCACGGGCTCTCCGCCTGCGTCCAGAGGATCGTCCTCAGAGCAGAGCTGGCAGGAGAGAGACAGTGGACTGGATTCACAGGCTGCAGCAGAGACAGAAGAAGAAGAAGAGATGACCCTGGTCTTACTGAGTCTGATGGAGCACCAGAGGGCCTCACTGGGACTCAGCCCCAACCCTGACCTCACCGCTGGAGCAGTAGGTGGGTCCTCTGCCACGGAACATATTTATTTGTCAAATGTTTTTATTCGATTGTAACTTAAACATGAGACGAGCCACTTCCTGCCGTTGTTATTGTTATTTTATTTTATTTTATTTTATAAAAAACTTTTTTTAAAGACTCAAATACTTCTTTAATACCTGTAAATCAACAAAGGTGGTTTGTTTTTATAACAACATTTTGTTATAGACGAGTCCAAATGGAGCAGAGCCATCCATCCATCCATCCATCCATCCATCCATCCATCCATCCATCCATGATGTATTTCCTCCCAGTTGTTAACACTTTTCTCTTCGTATATATTCTTTGTTGTCAGAGCTGCTCAGACATCTGATAACAGAGACAGATGAGCTGGTGGAGGAGGTGGAGACTCTGAAGGAGACGCTCAGGGTGAGTCACGTTCTTACGCCCAGGTTAAAGGTCAGAGCCGACCCGCTGTACCAAACTAGACGTTCTCTCCCATCACTCCACAGACAGAGAGGCTGGAGTGGCAGCAGTTCCAGTCTGACCTGCAGGTGGCGGTGTCCGTGGCCGACCGTCTGCGCAGCGAGTCGGAGCAGGCTTTGGTTTTACTCCAGGAGAATCACAGGACCACAGAGGAGTACCTGAGCCAGGCCCTGAGCCGACAGCAGGAGACGGACCGAGAGCTGGAGACTCTGAGAGCCGAGCACAGAGACGTCTGCCGCCAACTGGAGGAACTGCAGAAGGCAGGACGGGCCGAGGTGGACGCTCTGGGCAACAAGGACAAAACCGAGACAGAGAGTGTTGACTCTGAGGAGAGACGTGGCGAGGAAGAACAAGGAGACGACGACGTGGAGACTGAAACTGAAGATAAAAATGTTGAGACAAAGGAGAGCGAAGGAGAGAGAAATGTAGAAGCTGCAGCTGCAGGTCTGGATCTGCAGGGTGTGAACGGATCAGGGAACACTCAGCCCAGGGGGAAGAGGGTGGTGGAGGAATATCTGCGTTGTCTAGCAGCCCAGGAGAGGAGGAAAGAAGAGGGACGTGGGCAGAGGGACCCGAGGAGGATTGTGATGCTGTCTGAAAGGTCCTGGTGAGAGGGAGCCCCAGTTTTAGAACCATCACTGAAAACAAAGTCCGTCAGAATGTAAAGGTGTTTGTCTTTCAGGAGTTTGTCTCGTCTCCCACTCCCACTGGACTCATCCTGTCAAAGTGACTCTGCAAAGAATACAAGCACCACTCTACCACTATGCAAGGTGAAACACGTAGACTAACACTGATCGACGTTCTGAAAAAACTGTAAAAAATAACATTTACATTGTGTTTCTGTTCTGAGAATGAATGAGGCAGTAGTAAAATATATTAAAACCAATATACAGTGTTAAAACATGTATGTTCTAACACTGAGAGTTGTGCTCCACATTACTGTTAAATGACAGAGTATTTCTGATACTGACGTGTGTAGTAATTACTCACTCCGTCCAGAAGGGGCAGCCGACCAAAGGCAGGAGAATGGATCGGGTTTTACAGCGTCAGGACAGTTGGTCCAGCTTTTCGACAGGTAACTATTAGAATACAAAAAATAAAAAAAATAAAAAATAATAATAATGTTCAGTGTGCAGTTATGAACTGTGTCGATGTTTGTGTCTCATCACAGCAAAACAGGAAGAGGAGCCGAGCTCAGACTACATCAAGTTGGTCTTCTCTTCAAACACAGAAAGAAAAAAAAAAAGTTCACATTCTCATTCATCCACATCATGTTCTGTCCATAAACCTGTGTTTTTTTTTTCCTCATGTTCCCAGACCTCAGGATGGTTTCAGTGCTCTGCTGCGGCGTCATGGCGGCTCCCGGAGAAACTCGCTGCTGCGCTGGTGCCAAACTCGCACACAGGGTTATAAGGTTATAAGACATGACCTTTAAAATCTTATACAAAAAAATCCTTAAAAAATCAAGTAATTATTTGTTTGTTTTTGTATATACAGAATAATATACAGAATATTGAAATAACCAACTTCAGCAGCAGCTGGGAGGACGGTTTGGCGTTCTGTGCCGTTTACCACACATACTTACCAAATCACATCCCCTACCACGTCCTCCAGCCAGAAGACAAGGTAAAGCACAAAGTGTGTCTTTGTGGTTGTGTTTTGGAACAGCTGACTTCTGATCTTGACTTCACTGATTGTTCTTTTTCTTTTCTTTTTTAACAGAGAGAAAACCTGGATCTGGCTTTTAAAACTGGAGAGAATGTGGGAATCACAGCCTCACTGGTAAGAACGTTCAGTTGATGCTTTTTTTTTTCTTCCCCCTTTTTCTGTCCTTTTCACAGGATCAGATTCATAGTAGGCTGTCAAATAGGTAAAACCTTTAATCTGATTATAGTCCTACTGTTTTCAAACGTTGTCAGAATACAGTTTTAGTTTTACTGTGTCATCAGATGTTTATATTTTTTAATCTCACAGCTGGGTTTTTTTTTTTTTTGTTCCTCAAATATGTGACAGACAGTGGAGGAGATGTTGAAGTCCGATGGTCCAGACTGGCAGAGGGTGCTGGGCTACGTTGAAAGCATTTTTCGGCATTTTGAGATGTGACGTCACTTCACTTCCTCCTGTCCTTTTTAATAAACGAATTCTTCCACTATTATTCGGCGTATAGGACTGTGATGCTGTTTATTCTCCACAAGGGGGAGTTATGTTCCAAAAAGTATAAGCAATATGAGATTTGATATTATTTTATTTTTTAGAAACATTCTTCTCACAGAAACAACACCATGGAGATTAAAAAACAAATGACTTTAATTTTATTTTTTTCAACATTCTGTTCACTGTGGTGGCACAGAGTCTGCATCGGTGCAGGGTGAGAAAGCACAGGAACCAAGAGGGTAAATATTGTTTTAGAATTTCTTTTACATTTGGTGCTGGGATTTTTCACTCTTTTGGATTTTCTACTGAGCACTTTACAAATAATGTATTAAAGTATTGTATGTAGTATGTTTAGGTGAATAATATTTAAAGCACTGATGTTTAATTTATCTGGACAGAAACTTTTAATTTAATGATCTTGACATAGTGTTGTCATTTTTGCATGCAGCAAAAAGAACAAAAACAGCAGTATTTCTGTTAATGTAATGAGTCAACAGAATAGTTTCCTTATAGGAAATGTACATATGTAAATGTGTGTATTTGCTGTAGTATTTTTTAAAAATGGAACATGTACAAATGTCTCTGCCAAAGCTGTGTTGCAATAATAAAGTAATGTGTAGTTAAGTTCCCTTTTTTTTCTTACATATTTAGTATCACACATTCACAAATAGTTTATTGTCATATAGTACATATACATATTTGGACCTCAGTATAACAAATATTTTTGACAGAATTTAAAAAATGTTACGAAAATGTTAAAACATGGCAGTCAAATAAATGTTGCAGAATAAGTAACAGCTAAAGGTTGGTGTGTAACATAAAAATAAATACAGAACAGAAAATGTTAATATTATAGCGATAGTGATATTTACATGTTTTGATTTAAATAAAACCATGATGGAAACTGTGTTTGCTGTAAAGCCATAGTCTACGGCAGACATTGACGCAAATTACTTGGGGAAAACCCAATTCACACTGATAAAAAGATGTACACATGAAGTTTTAAAAGAGTGGGTTTGGGTTTTTTTTAAAAAAAACGATGGGGCAGTTCATATGTGCCCATGTATATCATGTGGCTCTTTGTAACATGGTAAAAATTGTGGCTCTTGACTGGTTGGCCACCCCTGGTCTACGGTTTCCTAATATCTCTGGAGAGGAAGGAGCACATGAACTCAAAGTACTTTTAAAAAATAACCAATTCAGTTAACTATATATACCTATAAGTTCCTATGAACTGGGAATGGCGCCCCCTATAGGTGGAGTTGACAAAGGTGGCAGGAGGAGAGCCTTAAGTTTCACTGACATGGCTGCAATTTCAGGGTCCTGGGTTTCATACATCTTTACCAGTCGGGCAAATTTGAGGACTCCTGCATGGGAGGTAGATCCAGAGCAATTATTCCTGTTATTAGAGCCGCACACTTGGCAAATGTATTATTCATGCGTGAGTTTTAAAAATCCTTACCTTCCCCTTCATTGTTGAACCCATAAGCCTTGATGACTTCCTGCTGAATCTGTGTAGCCACAGGAAGCACCAGCTGAAGCATCTTGCCCATGTCGTTACAGGCGCTCTCTCGTGCCTCCTCCATCCGAGCGGCGTTTTCTGGTACAGAGAAGGCCTGGATCACTTCACTCAGCACCACTGGTTAAAATAAATAAATAATTAAAATAATGAAAGTTTTAGGAACAGAAAATGATGATCTTGAAAAAAATCAATAATTAAAATAATGAATGTTTTAGGAACAGAAAATGATGATCTTGTTTAGTTCTAGCTTCTCTTACCTCTGGTCTGCTCTACAGTCAGAGTGGGTTGTTGTGCTGGAGCCGAGGCCATGTCTGGAGAGGAAACATTCAAGAACAAGTGTATACAGTTATGTTTTTTAATACTATATCCTTAAAAAGAATATGTCTGTTTGAGACCCTTTGACACATGTTACTACTGTGTTAAAGAAATAACTGGAGTTAAACTAAATATTAAGTATAAACAGGGCACATACGTTACAGTTACGTTACTGTGTAAAATCGACATCACATTGACTAAAACAGCATAAATTACAAGATCAACACATGTACACTAATAGCCCTATAACATAAAAAGCAACATATTACTGCGGGGGTTATATATAACAGCATATGGATCTATAGTATATGTGTATAAGGTTTTTGCATACCAGCTATATGTATAACTTGCATCAAATATATAACCTAAACGATTTAAATTAATTCACTGAAAAGAAAGGGGTCTGATAACTGTGGTCACTTAAAGTCCTGGCTCAACGAGAACCCAAAACGAACTGTTTACCGATGAAAGAAAACAATTCGTTTTGTGATGATGAGCCGACAGTGTTTATTCATCATTTCCTTCATCCACTCAATAAAAAGATACCGTGTAGAAATGTCGTCATACGTAGCGCATAAACATAAAACGTGTACTCGTAATAATATTTATTATAACCACAAACTTAAGTTTAAATATCAAGAAACTTACCGCTGATGAAAACGACTTAGCTTGTAGCAGAGAAATGTCGCCGGAAATCGGTTACTGTTTACGACATAGGAAGACGATTTTCGGCATGATGTGGTCCTTTACGACAACGCTGACGTTGTGTAAACAAACTTCCTAGTTTGCTATTACTACTGGTAAAATAATTAGAAATTATGATTTTTAACCCGCTATTTCCGGATAAAATAGGCCAAAAAAATGGACGAGACGACTCTGCAGCTTAAACTAAAGCGTGGTTGACCGGTAGCGATATTTTGAATGCGTTTGTTGAGTTATTTTTAGGTCCCCTTCAAGTATCGATGGAGCAAAAGCTCGCTGAGTTTAGAGCTCGACGACAGGCTGCAAACGCCAATAAAATGGATAAAGGCGATGTTTCAGAGAAACAAGAAAAACCTGAAGCTCTAAATCCTGTCATACCATCAACAGATAAAGAAAAAGTAAATACAGCTCAAACTCAGGTGAGAGCTACCACTGATCACTGTAAAATAAGTGAGGATGGGATTTATTGTAATCCTTAAATATATATAAATGTCCGAAACGGTAACATTATTTATTGTAATCCTTAAATACATATAAATGTCCGAAACGGTAACATTATAGAACATTAATGCATATAATATTTTTGTATTCAGTGAGAAAAACATTGTCTTGTTATAGATTTTATCTGTATAGCTATACTGTATACTGTATTATCTGTAAGTTTATTTGCTAGACGTTGTCTGGTTAAAGTTTGACGCAACAAAGTTTTATTTAAACTTGTATTTTAAGCGTAAATATGAATCATCGCTATGACTTGGTAGTGTTTGCATTTACATAATTTTGTAGCTGATTGCACATCACTGGGGAATATAGTGTTGAACTATAAAATAACAAAATGACGTTATCAGTTATTATTATTTTTTGCCCCAGGACCAGAGGGACTGGCTGCTGGACAATGCTGTAGGCCGATGGTTGGCTTCAAGACAGCTTATCATCTCAAACCTCACTCTGCTGAAAGTGTTGCTGTGGTTGGTGCTGCTCGGGCTCTTTGTTGAACTAGGGTTTGGTTTGCCCTTCTTTGTCCTTTCTCTATTCTACTGGATCTATGAGGGACTTCGTACACCAGCGGCCCGTGAACCTGGAGAAATGAGCGCTTATTCTGTCTTCAACCCAGACTGTCAGCCTCTGCTGGGCACTCTTACTGCAGAGCAACTGGAGGGAGAGATGGGTTACAGGCCTTTGGCAAACAGATGAAATAATTTGAACATTTGAAAAAAATATATTTAAAGGAGTTTATTATTGCATGGAATAAACACAGAAAATAAAATATTATTTTTTTAAAATCATGTTTGATGTTGGAGTTCCTTTTTTTAGACGACTGAACATATGATTCGCATCTCTCCTTTTCCACAATCTAATGAACCTCTCCCCTGGGCCGGGGACAAGTTTAACCATTTAGCCCTAAAGTGTCGTCTTGTTTTGCATAAACATTTTGAAAGTTGATAAAGATAAAATAGTGAATGTCATATTTGAAGTTATTGACACCAATCCGTTTTAGCAGAGAATTAATTTATAAAACCTGACGGGTCATCACAGCCGAACGACTTCCTGTACAAAGAGTACAGAGAGATGGTACCTCTCCTCTACTTTCTGCCGTTTTTCCAACTAATGTCTTTTGCTAACTCCGTTTGAATTACACATTAATTACAGCAAGTGTCTTTATTTAAAACTTGGCAATGTAAGTTAGTCTGCTATCGCTTCTTTTGTGTTCGGTTAATTCATTTAAAGCTCTGAAAATTGTGTTGAACATGGATAATAGTCTTTACCGTTTACTATCTTGAACACATGTCTGCTCTTTGTAGGTCAATAATATTTACATTTCCGGCTGTCGTAATCTGAACTCGGCCGCTTTTCGGCATTTTTTTGGTTCTTTACATTCAGTAAGTATCGTTAAGTGTGTGTTTCTTTCCACATTATAACGTTGTTTTAATTGAAAAATAGTAATTCACATGTTTTCGTTTTATGTTGACGTTCGTAATGTTCAGACTTGCCATAATAAAAAGAGAAGCATTCTAGCTGTTTAGCCGTTTAATGCTGTAGGTGTACAAGGTGATGACACTTGCAACGTAATTACAGGAATGTTTGCTCATTTTATTGCAAGTTAAATTATGTGCATGAACATTCAAAACATAAATGAATTATTTTTTCTTTTAGTTATCCATAAATTATGTGCATGAACATTCAGAACATATATGAATTATTTTTTCTTTTAGTTATCCTAAATAGGTAAAATACGATACAGCTACTGTATAGCATGTGGTAATATCGTTGTAAAATATGAAGAAAAATTCCACAACCATATGGAATAATCCATAAGATTGAGGTCAGATATCTAACATTTAAAGTCAGATAGTATATATTTCACTTAAAATTAAATAAAACGTTTCTGCACAATTGAGTTAAACATCAGCACTTTTTTGTTTTTGTTCAAAATTCTGCCATTTATTGGCACTCTTGACGTATATGATGTATATGTTTAGCCACATGTTGTACTAATCAAGTGTGTCTTCTATCTTTGTCCATCAGCAATGTCTGGGAGTCCAGCTCTGATTATGCGCCTTGTGGCCTCTGCCTTCTCTGTGGCTGAGAAAGCTGGGAACATAGTGAGGACGGTTCTGCACAGTGGAGAACTTGGCATTGTAGAGAAGGTAGAACAGGGCATTTCTTCTCATATCCTCTCCTTGTTGGACTTAACCAAGCTGCCGTACCTCTAACCAGGATCTTCTTTCTCAGACAGGTGCTAATGATCTGCAGACACTGGCTGACAGACTGGCACAGCAGAGCATCTGTGCCTCATTGTCCAGACGTTTCCCTAAAATCACCATTATTGGAGAAGAGGTAAATCATTTTAAGACTTGATCAAGACTTTAAGTTAATACGGTGAATGACAAAAGATGGTTTCACGTTCCTCTGGTTGAACCAGGAGCTTCCATGTGAAGAGGTCAGAGAGGACCTTGTTGAGAACGGCCAAAATGAGGAAATCCTCCAGAAGAAATGTCCACCGGAGTATAGTGAGCTGACGGAGGAGGAGGTAAGCAGGACTCCAGTATTTCAACAATCATGATGACACATACAGTAACCCCTTTCTGTTTTAACCCTTGGTCTCTCTCTCTCTCTCTCTCTCCTTCTGAACACTAGCTGGTGGTGTGGGTTGATCCTCTCGATGGGACAAAGGAATATACTGAAGGTGAGCGCTGTTTCACTTCGTCCGCTCAAACTAAGACCTCACACATGCAACAGCAAAGATGTTCTGACATGACATCATTTCCAAAATCACCATGGAAACTACACCAGTATTTAAGTCCAGAAGCACATGCGGGGCTCTGTAAATACTGTGTGTCAAAATGAAAATCATATTCTTCTCAGTGGTCAACCAACCTGAAACCTCAGGAGACTAACAACAACAACAACAGTGGTTAATGTTCCTGCCTTATAGCATGAGGTAATCATCGCTTTGGGTTTCCTACTGAAAAGGATTAAACAGCAGAAGATGAATTAATCTGACCTTTGATATTATGACCATTGAATCATTCCAGTTCAATTTAGTCATTTTCAGCAACTAGACGTCTACGGTTCAGGGACCCTGACTCTTTACTCTATTTTCTCTTTCTTCCTTCCTGTGAAATTGGATGAAATGAAGATTATTAGAGGTCTGCTGTCACTGTTATCATTTTCTATTTCTATATTTTATTCCCACTTTTCTTACTTCCTTGTCTCTATATCTTTCTTTCTTTACCCCCATCACCAGCATCGAGGTGTCACCGTCACCAAACTGAGGTCCAGATACCACACACAGGGTCGGTCGTCACTCAGCCTCACAGCACAGCTCTGTGTATGTGTGACAGATAGTGTACATGAGTCTTTGGTAATCTTACATCCTGGTGCCACTAAACATTCCATAATAATAATAATAATAACTTTACTTTGCTTTTTTATTAGACACACGTGGGATATGTGTCATCAAGAAATAGAAGTAAATTGGGACCAATTTCTGTGTAAAACTGCATTGAATGAGGCCAAAGACTTATCCACCTTACTGTACTTTCATGATTCACAACATCCACAGCTGTTTCTTTGTTAAAAATAACTCTTCTGTTCCCTTTCTGTTTCAGGGCTCCTGGATAATGTGACAGTACTGATTGGGATCGCATACGGAGGCAGAGCAATCGCAGGCGTCATCAACCAGCCTTTCTACAACTATCAGGTAACTATTGATCCTCAGCTTCACCATTCATCCTCATCTTGATGCTCTGCTTCATTCATTCATCATCTTTGTCAGCTCGGCACAGGGGCCACACTAGGACGGACCATGTGGGGGATGTTGGGCCTGGGCGCTTTTGGATTCAAACTCCAGAACCCTCCAGATGACAAACGAATCGTCACAACTACCCGTTCCCATAGCAACAAGCTGGTAACGGACTGCGTGGACGCAATGGAGCCACATGAGGTTATAAGAGTGGGTGGTGCTGGAAATAAGGTGAGATTGGATAACTGACCACAGCACTTCAGCACCACGATATCAGTCTGATGTAATCAGAGAAATAAAAGGATAACCTACAAACTGAAGTCATGCAGTGAACCCCCCCCCCCCTTGCCAGTATCATATTTATACAGGCTTAGCTCTTATTATTAAGACTTTTTAGCATTAGTATCTTTCTAATGTAAAGTATTTGTTTACAGATTATTCAGCTGGTTGAGGGAAAAGCGTCTGCTTATGTCTTTGCGAGTCCAGGCTGCAAGAAGTGGGACACCTGTGCTACTGAAGCCCTTCTACATGCAGTTGGAGGTAACGAAGAACATATCTCACTACAGAAAATGTGTTTATGGTCAAGAAAATTGAAATGTACTCAATATTCATTCATTTAAATTTTATTTTTATATTTGTGCAGGCAAACTGACTGACATGCATGGAAATGCATACCGCTATGACGCTAACGTGAAATACATGAATTCAGCCGGCGTTCTGGCAACACTACGGAACCACGAGTACTACGTCAGCAGAGTACCACAGTCAGTACTACAGGCCCTCAAGTCAAGCTGAGGTCTGTTTTAACCAGAAAGTTTAGTCAGGTGATCAATGTGATGTCATCTCTCAAACACAGAGAATTAAAAAACAAAAACAGAAATTCTCACGTCACAGACTGAGCACGGTGATTTCAGGACAGATTTGTAGCCACAGACAAAATGCAGGTTTAACAACAGTTGAATTTATTTCATCTCCACATACTGAAGGCAAATAAGTCATAAATTAAAAATACACACAGCAATGTTATTTAGCAACCTGGACATGATTTACTGTACTTCATTAACCACTACGTGGACACTGTAATACGACTAATGCAATATAAAAAAATTCTATTGTTTGATTATTTTATTTATTTATTTATTTTGCCCATGTGGTGCCTGCCTGATGTGCTACAGCGTCAATGTCATTTTTACTGTAAAGATTGTCACACTAACTACGAATCTTCAGCTCCAAACCACGTGTCAACTTGTCACCTTTTTAATACTTTATCTAATTACATCAAACTACTGTTTTTATTTACTCAACTTCTATTCAATTTTCATCACGGCTCAAAGAAACGACTCAAAGTCAGGATTGCATATGTTTGTCATCTGACTCATCATCCGTACGTGCTCCTGGATCAGATCTGTAACTGTCTGTCTTTATGTTAAGAAAGTACATTCTCCAGTCAAATGGAAGCAAATTGTTTATCATCACGAGGAAAGACAATCAGTCAGATGACAGGACAGTAACCATCAGGCAGCCGCAGGAGGACTGGTTCATATCTGACCCTGTTTTGAGAAGGTGTGTGGGAACATTATACATCGTAGCAGGAGGAACCAAGTTTAAAGTCTCACACGCGTTCATGCATTCACGAAAACCACAACATATTTTGTCAACCATATTTTAAAAACACTGCACCTTTTCCACGAGGGGACAGTTTTGTTATTCCTGTAAGCAATGAGTTGTAGAAATTATTCAACAGGTGTCGTTAAAAAAGCAAAAAGGAGAAGGAAAAATGCTTCATTTGTGTTAATTAAATACACACAGGTTATAATCAAACCACGCCAGGAGTTGGTGTTTACACTGAGAGAAGACTGGAGTGTTGGAGGCAGTCTGCAGAGACCAGAGGAGGAGCAGGGGGTCAGGACCAGACGTTCACCTCTTCTTAGGAGCCTGTGCGGTGCGAGGGGGGGTCACAGGACGTCCTGCATTCACACCTCCATACTGATACTTGGCCTTTTTCTCTGAGGGCTTCAGGATCTAAGTGACAGGATGATCAAACAAAGGCATAAATACATGTGGAACTGGATCTGGAGTCCTAGTCCTATGTGGGATGAATCCCATCAATTACAGCAGACTCCGTACCTGGAAGCTAGTCCTATGTGGGATGAATCCCAGCAATTACAGCAGACTCCGTACCTGGAAGGAGCACATCAAGGACTCGTCCACACTCATCATGCCGCCTGCGTTG